TGCAGCAGGCTAGGAGCTGTTCCTCTGCCTGGTGTGCCCTTCTGGCCTTGCCCCTGCCTCCTCCGGGACCCTCCTCTCATTAACAGACCCCGATTCCAACTGCACTTGCCGAGCACCCACTGGACCAGGGAGGGTGCCGGCCACCTTCCCAGACCCCTGAGGAGTGGAGACAGGGAATGAGTGGCGCCTGGAGCGACGGTCCACTGCTAGTAACAGCGTTGCTGACTGCTGACGTGGCACTTGGGAGTTCCGGCCTCGGGCCCTTTGGCTACACTGCAGTGGCCCTGCGTGGGTGGGTGACATGGTGTGTGCAGAGAAAGCCTCCGAGTGCAATTGCGTCAGGAGTATTGACTGAACTCTTGCTGCAGCCGTGGGGTTGGGCACTGACCCTGTGGAGGAACCCAGGCCATTAGAGCCTTCCTCTCTCTGTCTGTTGCATCACCTAGCAATGATGTGCCCGCCTCCCCACCCTGTCAACCCATTAACTCCTCAGACCCCAGGAGCAGCCACCTGACTGCTGGTCGTCACACTGGAAGTAGAGCGTGCTGGTATGCAAGGTGCCAGGACCCAGGACACCAACCCACTTCATCCTCATTTGACCTGCCAGGCTTGGCCCCCACCGTCCTCTGCTGTCCTCCCGCCACCTTCTGTATTGATGGGTGGTTAACAAGCTTTCACCCCTGTCAAGTCCAATCAGCCCTTGTTACTTCCCTGAGCAGCTACACCCGCAGGGAAGCCAGTGCGTTGGGTCACCAGGGAGCGGGCATGTGAGGCCTAGAGCAGCAGGGAGAGAGGCAGGCAGTCCTCACCTGCTTCAGGGCAGGGAGGAGAGGGCAAGGCCCAGGGTCTGGAGGGCTATGGAGGGTCAGAGTGATAAGGATGTGGGAGAAAGGCAAAGGGCTCACACAGGACAAACACCAGCGAGGCCTCCCTTCCTGCAGTGCTGAGGGACAGTGCTCTGAGGGGCATACCCCACCCTCAAAAAGGGCGATTCTTGTACTTAGGGAAGCCAAGGACCCGTATTAGGTATCTACTACTGCTGAACAAACTACTCCAGAACTCGCGGCTTACACAATATACATTGATTATCTTTCATGTGGGTCAGTGAGTGACTCAGGGCCCACCCCGTGGGGTATTTTCTGGCTCAGGGCTCTTCATAAGGTTGCAATCAGCATCAGCCAGGCCTACAGTCATCTGAAGGCTTGACAGGGGCTGGGGTTTCCATGTCCACAGTGATCATTCACCTGGCTGACCAGTTGGTGATGGCTCTTGGCCGGAAGCCTCAGCTCCTTCCACATGGGCCTCTCTATGGGGCTGCCTGAGTGTCCACGTGGTGTGGCGATCGGCTGCCACCAGAGGCAGTGACCCAAGAGATCATGAAGCCTTAGTGCCTTCTATGACCTAGCTGCAAACGTCCCTCACTCGTCCTCCATCTGCGCTGTGAGTCAGGGCATGAACAGCAGGAGGTGAAGATCTGGGGTCCTGGGGGAGAAGGAGGCAGGGGTGGGCCGAAAGGTTCATCCAGGAGCTCCTTCGTGCCCTGGCTATTTCAGGGCGAGGTGCTAGCCTCTCAGGTGAGCTGAGTGTCGTCCTCTGATTATGATGTTTTCCCCCAAACCGCAGTCTGGCTCCTTCCTCCCAAATCCACACCTCTTTCCTCCTGGCCTCCTCATCTATGTCCCTGTGACTCCCAGATGATTCTGTTCCTTTCTCCTGCCCCAAATCTTATTCCCGTAACCTTGGCCCCTCACCGAGGCAGCTAAGGGCTCACAAGGCTGACAGGCCAGGCGGCTTACATTCTCTTTCTCTCTGACAGGGTGGGAGGCGCTCTGACCTGAGGACAAGGCTGGCATCCCCAGACAGCTCTAGGATGAAATAGGTCACAGCAGATGCTTCCTTTCCATGGGAGCAGCAGACATGAGACCCACAAGGTGGTCTGGACCTGGAGGGTGGTTTGGGAGGTCAGCTAGAGGTGGAGCCCAGCAATACCTGGAGGCCTCAAACCAGACCCAGGCTCTCTTTGGTGGGGCCCTGCATGGAACCAAGTGGGAGAAGCTTAAAAGTGGGATGCCGGCTAGATAGGGAACAATCTCCCCTGGTCAGGTGCCCTTCCAACCTAATCCTCACAGACCGCAGTCTCGCACATGGGAAGTCCATTCATCAGAGGTTGGGGCTCCAATCTCAGTGGAGTTCAAAGCTTTCTTCAGCTCCCTGCACTCTCCTGGCTTGGGGGAAGGGAGTAGAGAGGGCACAGAGCACACCTTCGCTTACTCCTCAGCTCCCTCACAGGCAACCCACATGCCACGTGGAGAAGGGGCTCCCAGTTGAGACAAGAGGGGAGAGTCCAAACCCAGGTTCAGCCTTGCCAAGGGGAACATAGGGAAGAGCCAAGGTGAGTGGTTGGGGGCTGCAACCCCAAGACCAGAAGCCTTGGCAAGTCAGCTCCACAGGGAGCCCAGCCTGGGAGTGGCGGGGGTGGTTCCTAGGAGGAACTCGGGTGCTTGGAAAAGTGAGACAGTCTCAGCCTCACATGTGGAGGAGCACCACAGTCAGGTTAAATGCTTTTGCCTAAAATAAAGGGAAATTGGGGGGAGGGTGTTCCTAAGCACATCTGGGTGAACTGATGGGGTTGGGAGGCAGAAGTGATCCCAAAACCCAACAGAGGTCTTTGTGGCTGGGCCACTGGCCTGGACTTCAGGTCTAGCTTTGAAAGTAAACTTGGCCACCACCCTTCTTTGGGAAAGGGAAGAGCTGGTGGGAAGGGGAGAACTGACCAGGATTCAAGGGTTACCGAGTGAGAGACCCACAGATGAACAAGCCAGAGTGTTGGCTGTCCCAGGATTGCCCCCTTCTGAGGCACTGGGACCCTGAGAGCGCTGCCCTTGGTTCCCCTCCGCTCAAGCAAGGGTTCTGGTTCCCTGCCTGGCCCACAGGTCTCAGTCCTTCCCTTGGGGCACAGGTTAGGAAGTCAAATGCCTTTAGACTCAAATGTGTGAAAAGCTCAGGTTTGGGTAATTTGAAGCTGTGGAGTCTGCAGCAAACTGGAGAGTACCTAAAAGCATACACTTAAAAAAAATTTTTAGTATCATACTGGCCAAACAGATCATAGCTGCCAGATTAGGCCTCTATGAAACCCAGCCTAGGAGATGGAAGCAAGCCCAGCTAACCCCATACCTGTTCTGTGTGCACATATGTACACGCACACACGCACACGCGCACACACACACACACACACACACACACACACCTGTATCAGTGCTCAGGGTACTTAAAAGGGCCCAATTGCTGCTCCTTGCCCATGCTGTGAGTGGGCTCCTATGAGCTATGAAGTTGGCTGGAAGTCCCTTTCCCCAACTCCCTGTTTCCTCCAGCCCCGAGCCACCCCTCCAGATTCTTTGGACTCACAGGCCATGGAGGCTCTATACTGAGTGCTCCCAGCAGTCCCAGAGCCAGAACAGAGACCTTCTAAGACAGCCTGTGAGTTTAGAGCCAGGGGGTCTGGCAGATTTATGTGAGGTGAGGAAGGTGGGAAAGGATGATGGTGTCTGTTAACAGTCTGCAGAGACAGAGAGACAATTCAGGGCCCTATGAGCTGGGGAGAGTTTGTGCCCCACCACTGTGCAGACCTGCCCACAACAGAAAATGCTGTCCCGCAGGCTGACAGAGCCGAGGTGTGGGTGGCAGCAGGTAGCTGAGAAGCCTGGCTGGCCGCCCGCCTATCCACTGAAGCTGGCTGCCCCAAAGCAAGTTGTCTCTCTAGGAGAGCCCCACCAGGACCTTGGGGAGAAGGATGAGGGAAGTGTTTGGGTTCCAGATGGTGAAAGCTGACAGGGAAGGAGAGCTGCTCAGCTTGTCCATGCATCCTGAGGACGGGGTGAGGGCACTTCCCTCCGGTTTGTGAAGGGTGCTGAGGAGGTCCTACCGGGAACCTGGGGAAGCGGCACTGCTCCTATTGGCCACCAAGAGGCAGCAGAGAGCACTGTGCCAGCCTCAACTAAGGCTCCCCAGTCTCATCAGTGAGTGTGATCTTACTGAAGCTGTTTCTCTCCATCCCTTCCTCCTGTACCCACTTCTTGACCCACTGACTAGTCCAAGAAAGGTGAACACAGGTGCACGGAGTGGTCCAGAGGAATGCAGAAGCAGACTGCCAGAACCCAGGAGTCTGGACACCTGCTCGTGCCCAGTGTGACAACATACTTGTTCTTACAAGTGAGAAGCACCTACCTATCTGGGCAAAGGGTGGTGAGTGATCTGAGGATGCCGGGGCTGTTGGAGATGGAACTCACCATGGCCAGACCATATTTTTACTCCAGCCACTGGGCATTGGCTCTGGGTGACATCTACCTACACATAATCCTCCCCAGGTGACTTCCTTTCTTCCAGCTCTCAGGTCCTGCCCCTGAAACTATCCTGGGTGGCCTACCCCACCTCCACTCTCTCTCCTCGCTTCCTCTGAACACAAGTCCTGCCTTCCACCTCCACAAAGCCTACTCCGGCCAGAGAAAGACCTGCATGATCTGGTAGGGAGGGGAAAGGAGCACCCCCCACACACACCTTCCTCTCTGTTTGAGACCTGAGGGCTCTTGCAGGCCCCAAGCCCGCCCCTGTGGGAGGAGAGACAGAAAGTGTCAAGAATGAGGGGTCTAGAGAGGAAATCTGGTCAGATGAGTAGGGGCTGGCAGAGAAAATACTATGGTGAAGGCATCACTCTAGGGAGAGCTGCTCACCCCTTCACAGAAGCGACCTCTCTCCCTCCTACCCCAAGACAGCGTAACTGAACAGGCATGGGTGAGGTAAAGAAGGCAGCACACGGGGCAGGCCATCCATACAACATGCTTGGTTATTAACGCAGGAGGGGGTAACGGGGGGCACACTGGCCGAGAAACAGAGGACCAGGTTCCAGTCGTCTCTCTGGTGCTGAGGAACTGCGTGAATTTGAAAAAGCCGCTTTGTCTCATTGGTCCTCATTCATGAAGTCAGGGATTTGGACAAAAGCAGGATGGCAAATGAAGCTGCCCGGAGCACTATATTTGGAAGGACTATGAGGTGGGAAAGAATTGGTAATCAATTAGCAAAGTCTGTCATGGACATAGGACACAGTCCAGGCATCATCTGTAAGTCCCTTCCATTTGAACGCTCCATGAGTTGATAACATTTGAAGAAGAGTGTAGAACTAGCACTGGCACTAGGAACACTGGGAGAGACTGCCTCCTGGAAACGTCGATGCAATGATGGCCTGTGAAGATCTGCCTCCTGGCTGACTCTCTAGTCCCCTCCCCCTGGACTCCAGAATGCTACGCCTAGTGAGGGGCCCCCTCTAAGGGAATGTCAGAGTCCAACATGGTGTGTTCAGTGCCACTTCCAGCACAGTGTTCCATCGGCTCTCTGAATCAGATCATGATGTGTATTCCAATTGGCACTATCTTCCAATGCACAAATATAGTAAACTCTAACAGGAAACATCCCTGCAGTAGGAGATCCCTCATAATGTAATGTGCTATAATCAGATGGTGAACTCCAAAAAGACCACCCTCCTTTATAAATAAGACAGTGGGTTCCAGCAGGGAGTTGCTTCACAGCGTGGCATGTTCCAGCAGGACCGTCCTGAGCCCACCAGGAGGAGCTGCTTCCGCTGAGAGGAGAGAGGAGGAAATCTTGCCTTCGCTGGGGGTGCCCCAGACATCGCAGGCATTTGCAACAGGGCTGTGGTGGGAACAGAGGCGAAGGCTGTCCACTGGGGGGAGAGGGTGGCCCTGACCCCAGGTTCCTGGCTCAGGAGCCCCCTGGCTTTCAGCCACATCCTATAAGTGGGTCTCTTTCTCCCCAACTATCAGTCCCTCCTTCACTGGGGAGGGTCCACAGTCCTGGCTGGTGCCACCATCCAGACACAGGTGTTGCTTGGGTTGTGGTAGGCTGGGGTCAGGGGTGATGAGCTGTCGCAAGCGCTGTGGAGAGAAGAGGGAATGAGCGGGTATTGTTGGTGAGTGAGGCAAAGCTGCTTTTTCCTGTCTGTATCTTCAAGGCCCAACACAGGAACATGGGGCAGCTCAGTACCATATGAGTGAATAAATAAATAAATATTTTGAGAAGAGAGAAGAGGCAATAATATGGTGATTAAGAGTGTGAACTAGGTTCCACTTCTGGCTCTGTTACTTGTGCAATCTTAGGCAACCCATTTAACCCCTCTCTGCCTCATCTATAAAATGAGGATTATAAGAGTACATACCTCATAGAACAGTGTCTGACACAGGGTAAGGCAGGAATAAGTATCTATTTTTGTTCTTATTATTACTAATTTTCTTACTATTATATGCTCAATAAGTATCTATTATTATTTTTACTAGTAGTAATTCTGCATTACTATCATTATTGGGATTTGTGGTATCATCTCCCTCACCTTCTTGCCTTGATTGCTGATGTGACGGCTGGAGTCATGACAACCTTCTTGTGACGATGAGGTGAAAAGCTTATAATGCACACACAACATGCTCACGATGGCAGTGCAGGAATATAGGATGAGTCTGGTCCCTAATGCCCTCTTTAAGCAGCTGAACAAAATGCCAGCAACCCCTGTCTCTGAGTGGGTATTGTTGGTGAGTGAGGCAAAGATGCTTTTTCCTTGATATGTAAAAATAAATAAATAAATAAACCTATTTGCTTATTGCAGGTTGAGTTTTCTACTACTTGTAGGCCGGACAGATTTCTATAGTGTAATGTCTTTGTGAGACACTGGCTATATACTCTTCCCGGAAGGCATGTCCCAAACTCTAAACAGGAAGCTTCTCGCACATGTTCCCCACAAGGTTAAGATAAGAAAAGACGCCGGGACGCTGTGTGGAATGAATGATGATACCCAGTTATCAGTTTCCTGAGAGCAAGGAATCTGTGCTCTGTAAGCCTCTGTGTCTGGGCCCATTTATGTTCTCCTTTGTGACTTAGTTTCCCCTTAACCCTTGACAGGTGACCATTGGTTAACCTGCCTCAATGATCTTTTAGAGGTCAGGTTCTAAAGGTCTACAACTCTGGGACTTTCTAATGTTTCTGGACATGAAACTATTAGACTGATCTTCAAAGACCTTTCTCTTTAAGGTTCTATTAGACTGAAGGGCTGCCCCACACTCATAGCTGGGCCCCAGCTGTAGAGTGCTGCCCAAGACCCACCTCTCTCAGTGCCCTCTTGAATGCGTCATTTCCCTCAGCTCCCTACCTTCTTGAAGGTACCCTGGGTCTTCAGGAGGGTAATGATGACGAAGAGCGGGACGCAGACCATGGAGGAGAGAGCCAGGAACCAGCCAATGGAGTATCCCCAGGGAGGGTACACATAGATGTTGTTGTATCTGAGAGGTGTGTACTTGCTCAAGGAGAAGAAGAAAGTGGCCTAGAAAGAGTGGGGCAGAAGGCAGGGTGGTCAGACACAGATGAGATAGAGCCAATAAAATTCTCTCCTCTCTACTTAAATACACAGTGATAGAGGACAATTTAGATACACTGTGCTACATCTATGAGGCGGGAAAGTAAAAGCCATTTGCAAATCGGGGGCCTAGGCATCACTCACATCAAAGACTGACGTAAAGGAAAGGGAGACGGAGGAGCTCTAAACAGACAAAGAGACCAATAACTGGGAAATCAGGCAGATGGCTGGAGATGCTGTGAGAAAGGGATGGAGAAGGAACAGGAATAGATGCTAAAGACAGTAAAGCAAACATATGGAGAGATAGCCCCAGACAAGAAGGGCCGAGGAAACCAATACATCGGAGGGAATGGACCAGCCTCCCAAGATCACTGGACAGGCAGGGACAGAGCCCCAGAACTCAGGCAACCTGTTCCTCATCCCCCCGAGCCTGCTGCAGGCAGGAGGGAATAAAGGGGTAGCTGGGTGGGTACATACCAGGCAAAGTCCAGGGGTCAGGAAGAGCCAGGAGATCTTTACCAGGGGCCATGGCCGGTAGCCAATCATGTCCTCAATGTTGTCATAGAAACGGTCTGCCCCTGCCCAGGCACAGTGGGGGAAGAATGAGAACAGAAAGGTGAGGACAGCTCATGGGTATTTGGGAAGGACTCACTTGGTAGCTCTTCCCCCCCACCCTGTCAATGAGATGGGTCCCTGGCACCCCAGACACAGTGCTGGGAGTTGGGGAGGGAGAAGGAGCTGCCACCAACAAGCCAGGGGCCCTGGGGTCACCCAAACTCTGGGTGCAGTCTCTGTCCCCCTGTCATTGGATGAAGACTCCACTGTCCTAACCACAGAAGAGGGTGTGAGCCTACAATGGGGCTCAGTGATATATATACAGATGCTTGTTTATCTGCATAGCAAAGATGAATTCGGTTTCAAGGCAAAACACAAAACAGCAAGTGTGTGCCACTGCTCAAGCAGATCCTTTCCACTCTGATAGAGCCAGATCTCTACAGGAAGAGAGGGGAGGAAAGGGAGGGGGAGGAGAGGGAAGGGGAAGGGAGCAGAGGGGAGAGATAGGAGGATGGAGAGGGAAGGGGAAGATCACTACTGGGAAGCCTAATTCTAGACTCCAGAGGAACCCCCTGCATTCTGTCACGCATGGGGAGAGGGTTGACTAGTGCACATGAAAACACTGATGTTTGGTTTGTTAATGTCCTCAGGTTTTCACATTTGCTCTATCTTCTAAGAAGTGAAGAGCCCCTGATTGGTAAAGACACTTAGAAGACCCCTCTAGCTGCCTCTCACCAAAAAAAGATTTTCCGTCTGGTCACTAAGGCAGGAAATGCCACCATTAAAGAGTCATTCCTTTGGCTTGTAAGTTTCTCCCATTAGAAACCAAAGACTCTTGAGTAGGTTTAACATATTAAGACTCATCAGCCATGTCCACCTCACTGTGGTTGAGTTCATCAGACCCTCTCAGAACAAGTTTTGAAAAGGAGGAAGGGACAACCGGGAAGACATCGGGGGCTTGAATGAGAAGGGAGAGGACATCTCCAAGGAGTGGAAAGGATATCAAATAGGAAGGCCAAGGGTAGCAAAATGAAAGCTTTCCTACTCATAGCTGGTTACAAGGCCCCAGTACATGGCACCCTTTACCCTCTCTGCCTTGAGCTTTGTGACTTTGGCAATGTGTCCCCCCAACCTGGTGCAGTGGAGCCACACAGACCTGGGGTATGATGATGGCTCCTCCACTTACTAGCTGTGTGAGCTCAGGAAAGAGCCATAACTCTCTTAGCCTCACCTTCCCTGGTAAAGGGTTGTTGTACAGGTTGGGAGGTAGCAAGTGCTTGCACATAGCAGTGCACTGGCTCAGTAGCTAAGGGTTTCTCCCCTGTTGTCATGAGGCACAATAACAACATGGGTATGACAGCACTCAGCACCATGGGTTAGTTATCTCGCAGCCGAGGGGCTAGGGCTGTGGGAAAAAGTCAATGGAAGGCACAGTTCACCTTTATGTAAGAAAGAAATGCCTAACAGCCAAAAGGGAAAAGGAATGACTTTCTTGTTCGTGGAAGAATTCAGCAAAATCTGGGCGATAACTTTGAAAGGGACTATGGGATCTGCACAGGATCAGAATAAATGGCCCAACGGTCTCTTTTAACTACAACTCCCGCCGGGGAAGGATCTCTGGCAGCCTCTGTAGCAAAGAAAAACCAAACTGTCCACTGATATTTATAACGGCCCTCACCCCTCAAGGAACTCGGTGTTGTCATTATCCCCACTCTTCCTGCATAATGCGAAATGCCTGGATTCCCAGCGATGGATACACTTACCATGTGTAAAGAACCAGGACAGCAATACAAAAACACAGAAATCAGAGGCTAGCACACCCTGTCCCTCATCCGGGCAAGTCCAACCCTTAGCTGGGTTCCAGAGGCTTCTCCCAACCCACTTACCATACACCCAGCTGATGCAGATTACTTCCGACATTGCGAGGAAAAGTAGGCATATGCCGCTGGAAGCGTAATAATCAAACAACTGGAAGACGTACATCCCGCCCTGTGGAGAGGGGCGGGGAGCTGAGAACTTGGCCAGTGGGGGCAGGGACCACGCTCCACCACACAGCAACAGGGCAAGCCTCTGTCCGTGGCTTCCCCCCACCCCCCACTACCCACCCCTGCCCATGGGAAGTTACTCCTTGCCTCCAGAAGGAGTTTGCTCTACCTCTCCCTGCCTCCTGCCCTCACTTAACATCAGGGCAACAATTCTCACATCTGCAAGGACGCTGGGACTGTGGTGGACATACACTGTCTGTTTGCCCAGCATTCCCCTCCCTGAAGGAGAGTCATGGCTGGGCGCTGGACACGCTCTCAGGAAAAGGGTGCTCTCTCCTGTGGGGTGGTTGGGTGGCAGAAGTTACCTTCTTTACTACCAGTAGGGCCATCTGGCTAAGAATGAAGTCACCAGAGGAAAGGGAACTGGGAGACAGAGAGGGACACTTCTGACCATGTCATTAGAGCAGCTGGGTCCAACCATACATACAACAAAATATTTCTACCTGACCCCCAAACTCCCCTTTCTGCTTAAGCCAGCTTGTGTTTGGCTTCTAAACCCAAAACACAGCTCACAAACAGAGATGGGTTCTACTGTGTGGTCCCTACTATCTCACTGTGAGGTGTCAACACCCCTGATCAGCAGATGAGAAAAGTGTGGCTCTGAGAAGGGTCAGCGGTGTCCCCATGGCTCCCTCACCCTGGAGCTCAGCCGCAGGCGCCGCCCCTGCTCACCTCGGTGACCAGGAGGAGCCCTATCAGGTAGCACAGGATAGAAATGGCAAGGATGAGGAGCTCTCGCCGCCCGCTCCTCCGGAGCTGCCTGGGGAACATGTCCACGGAGGCTGTCACCAGGCACTCCACACAGACAAACTGCGGGCCAGGAGGGAAGCTGAGTGAGAGGGGCCCCTGCCCTTGGGCCTTCCCAGCCCCGCCTTGCCCCGGCCTCCTCTCACCCCGCTCCCCCTGCTGATGCACAGGCGTGCAGGGAGGGTACAAAGGACAGAAATGGGTGGTGGCCAGGGGTGAGGCCATCTCTGCCCTTGGCCACATATCCACAACAGAGGGTCCCAGCAGTGACACTTGGAGAGCAGATATGTGTTCTGTCCCCAAAGCTATGGGGCAGGATGGGCAGCTTGAGCCAAGTATCTGGAAGGAGGCAGGAGGGACATTTGGGAGGGTGCATCCAAGCATGGGGAAGGGTCATGTGAGGGGGAACAAAGCAGTGGCCCCCTTGCCAAAGAGAGCCTCGAGGTCTGGGGTCACCCAACTAACCCAAGGACAAGCCCTGGACAGCGGAAGGGGCCTTCAAATGTATGGTCAGGGGAAAGGGAGTTAGAGGGAAGGTAATGCAAGGAAATGCAGAAGCTGAAAAGACAGTCACCAGGGCAGCACTGGCAGGGCTGGGCAGGGCAGGGCTGGCAGGGCTCGGCTGGGCAGGACTGGGCAGGGCTGTGCTGTGCTGTGCTGGGCAGGGCTGGGCTGGGCAGGGCTGGGCTGGGCTGGGCTGGGCTGGGCAGAGAAGGGCAGAGCAGGGCAGAGCAGGGCAGGGCTGGGCTGGGCTCGGCTGGGTGACAAACCTGGCTGTCCAGCCCTAGGAAGATGAGCATGATGAAGAAAAGGCAGGACCACAGCTGGGATAAGGGCATCATAGTCACAGCCTTAGGGAATGCGATGAAGGCCAGACCAGGACCTGCCAGGACACAACACAATCAGGTGAGCCTAGGGCTCTCACTGCCCTCAGGGAAGGGCGCTCTCCAGAGGCACTGTGTATGTGCATGTGACTACGTGTATGTGCACGAGTGTGTGTGTGCGTGTATGTGTGTGTGCTTGAGTATGACTGTGCATGTGAGTATGTGTGTGTGCATGAGTGTGTATGTGCATGTGAGTGTGAGTGTGAGTGTGTGTGTGTGTGTGTGTGTGTGTGTAATAGGGGTGGTTCAAGAGGGCAGGGTGATTCCATTCATTATTCTGCTCTTCCCAGGTTCTGGGGAGCATGCTGTCCCTCCATCCACCCATTTCTCCATCCATGCATGCAACTGTGGGTCCATCCACCCATCCCGTTTCCCTCCCTCCCAGGGTTATGGAGGCCCTGCTATGTGCCAAGCACTGCCCTCAATGCTAAAAGGCTCATAGGACCCTGCTTTCCTGTAGGGGGATCTGTGTTCTGACCCTCCTTCCCCTCAGGTCCCAGACAGCAATGTCACACCTACCAGACTCAGCCACTTCAGAGATGGGCACCGCCTGCTCTTGGGACATGAAGCCCAGGATGGAGAAGACCACAAACCCAGCCACAAAGCTGGTGGCACTGTTCAGGAAGCAGAGGGCAATGCAGTCCCTGCAGGTGGGAAAATGCAGATAAAACAAAGAAAAAGGGAGAATGAAATTCAATATTTGAGGAGAGATCAGAAGACAGTAAGAGTGTAAGAAAAGGAAGAGTGAACGGGAAGAAAAACAGAGGAAGAAAAGGACAAACAAGGGGTTTCAGAAGGCGAGGAGAGGGAAGGGAGACAGGAAAGGGAGGAAGAGAGAAATTCGGTCTGGGACACGAACCCAGAATGGCAATTTCACACAACCTGTCGCTCCCGATAATAAAGAAGGAAGGTCTGGGCCCACAGTAGGACCTGTCCTCCTCAGATGCGGACAAGCAGGGTCCCCCAGGGCCCCTCACCCGTGTCCCTACCTGTAGCAGTTGTTGTGGTACTTGTTGTAGCTGCCCAAGGCTGTCAGGCACCCCTGGCAGATGGCAAAGGAGAAGAAGATCTGGGTGCCCGCGTCCATCCACACCTACAGGAGACCCCAAGAAAGTGGTGAGGGAGAGCGGAGGGAGGCCGGCAGGCCTGCTCCGTGTTCCCAGAGTCGCTTAATCCCAACTCTACGTGAGCACACCCTCCTCTGACAGGCAGGGCCCATCTGTGACTTGGTTCTGCGGGCACTAGGTAAGCACCAAATAAGAGTGCGTTACTTGAAATGCTTAGGTGGAGCCCATCACCCATGGCAATGCCCCAGAGAAGGTGAGGCCCTCTGCAGGGGAGACAAGAGGCATTTGCTCAATTCAACAAGCAGGGTGTGCCTTAGGCAGCCACGCTGGGCATAGGGGCCACGGCATTGAAATAGAGAAGAAACCCCAAGCATCTTGGGGGTGGAGGGAGTGGAGACAAAGAATGTGCTCAGACAAGTCCTAGAGCAGGAAATACAAATGGTTGATAAATATGTGGGGAAATATCCAACCTTGCAGTCATAAAAATTTTTTAAATAAACCAACAATATGATGTTATTTTGACCTATCAAATTATCAACAATTAAAATAAATCATAATTGACCTCTCGTGGGCCCTGCGGAAATGCTGGCCGTGGAAGTCTGCATCTCTGCAGCCAGGACAGTTCAGGAACCTGAAAATGTGCACACTCTTTGACTTAGTGTTTTCACGTCTAACTATGGTCAGGAAATGATGATCAGAGATGTGGTCAGAGATTTAGACACAGGTGTTCATTGCAGCCGTACATACAATCGTAAAAATATACATAACCTATATGTCCCAAAACAGGGGAAGAGGTGAGTAAAAGACAATACCGGCCCCAGGTGTGATGCTCAGAGGCATGGAGCCCACCCTCACCAGCGCTACAGCGCTCCCAGCACTTCCTGGGACGTCAGGACATGATGGGTGAATGGATAAATGGATGGATGGATGGAGGAACTATTATGCAAGTGTTAAAAATGGCATTTACAAATGAACTTAATAACATGAAAACTGCTTAAATATAAGTGAAAAAAGATATATCTCTATATATAATTATCTCAACTATGTTATATCTCTCTCCTCTCTCTCTTCTCTCTCTCTCTCTCTCTCTCTCTCTCTCTCACACACACACACACACACACACACACACACACACACACCATCCAGCTATGAAAAAATGATGGAAGGAAATATACTAAAATGCTAACAGAAGCCCTGGCCAGTGTTCCTGAGTGGTTAGAGCGTCAGCCCAGCACCAAAGGGGTGGGTTTGATTCCTGGTCAGAGCACGTGGGAGGCAACCAATCGATATATGTCTCTCACATCAGCGTTTCTCTCTCCCCTCTCTCTCTCTCTCTCTCCTTTCCTCCTTCCCTCACTCACTCCCTTCCACTCTCTCTGAAAAGCAATGAAAACAATATCCTCAGGTGAGAATTTTTAAAAAAATCAAAATGCTAACAGAGATTGTAGCTGAGTGGTGGGTTTTAGTTCCTTTTCATGTCAAGGTTTCTCCAGTGGACATTGACTGCCTTTAAACCAGGAGGAAAGTGATCAAAGATTTTCAAAAGTACAGATCTGGTTTGGAATAAGAGACTTTTGGGGAAATGATCCCCATCACAGTTCCTACCTGGGGGTCCTTCAGGCGAGACAAATCTGGCTTCAGGTAATAGATGATGCCCTCATAGGCTCCGGGAAGCGTGATGCCTCGAATCAACAGGATGATCAGCATCAGGTAGGGAAACGTGGCTGTGAAATAAACCACCTTGGAGGAAAGCAGGTCAAAGTCACTTCTGTGCGGTCACAGCAGCCGGGGGGGGGGGGGGGGGGGGACAGGGCCTGCAGCGGTCTTCCTGTCACCCCTCCCCGGGAGGCACGAGCCACACCTAGCTCAGTGTCCAACACCTGACAGACATCTAGAGGGATGGACACACACTTTCTGCACCTCTCATTCCACGTTCCTGCGGGTGTTGGGCCCCCAGCAGACTGTGAGATACACATCAACAGGGCAAGGGGGAGGAGGAAGGGCAGGGAGGGGTACAAGTTTCCAGCTGTAACATTTCAAAGACTATTTTTAAATCCAGAATCTGGTCTCCCTTAACCCCCTATTCTGGCTGTTCTCCGCATGTCCCCTGGGGAGGGTGGCCTCCCTTCACGGGGGAGGGGGTGGAGATGGGGGTGTTCAGGCAGTTTGTACAGTGACCTGTGAGGACACGGAGACTGCATTTTCCAGGCTGAAGGCTGGGAAGAGCAGTGGCCTGAGCTCCAGGTATCCTGGAGACACTCAGAGAGGAATCCACGCTGCCCTTGGCCAAGCTCAGGCCTTACCAGGTGGTGGCAGAGCCCTTGTTAGTATTATTACTATTACTATGTTGTCATTACTATCACTGTTTTATTATTATTTCAACAACCCATGGAATGGGGGATGGTGCTGCAGGAGCAGGTTAGTCAAAGAAGTCGGGGCCTGTCTGATCCTGGCTTTAAAGAGCACGAAGCATCTGTCTCTGCCTCTCTGGGTTGGAAATAACGCTCAAAGCTGAACTGCCTCAGTGCAACAAGTACTGTGGCCCATTCTTGGCTATAACCCCTTCAGTGATTGGAAACTCACCACCTCAAAGACAGGTCTGTGTGCTAGCTCAAGCTAAACATTGTCTTGATGTGTTTGTTGTTAAATACAGAAAGCAAGTCATCAGAGTGTCTTATCCAGCCCGGCTCAGTTGGTTAGAGCATCTTCCATGCCTCAAAAGGTTGTGAATTCGATTCCTGGTCAGGGCACATACTCCAGTTGTGGGTTCAATCCCCAGTTGGGATGTATACAGAGGCAACCAATCGATGTTTCTCTCTCCTCTTATTCTCTCTCTAAAATCAATAAAACATATCCTCAGGTGAGGATTAAAAAAAGAGTGTCTGATCCTAACTGTGTGATATACACGTGTACTAGATACAGCTACACACATACACACGTATAAAGGAAACTAGAAGGCAACACAGTAAAAGGTTAACAGAAGGGATTAGTAGATCCAACCTGCCATTGCGCTGATGGCTTGTACAATGCTTAGCTTTGACAGTGGGCCTTTTATGTTTCTGATTTTGCTCTGTATATTATTTACGTAAAGAGGCCTTTTAAAGTCATATTGAAAAAGTAAGCCTTTCCTTGTATTGAATTAAACTCTGCCTTCCTACGATTTCCCATGTTCTCACCGGGCCTCTCCTTAGACTATGCTTTCTTTCAGTTCTCCAGAGGGATGCTGTGAGTGTCCCTGGGGGCTCTGGGGACACAGAGAGCTTACCAGGAACCAGAGCACCTCACCTTGCCTGTGGTCTTGACCCCCTTCCAGATGCAGAAGTAGCAGATGATCCAGGCAAGCAGGAGGCACAGGGCCAGTTCCCAACGCAGGGCTCCCAGGTCGTGGATGCCTGCAGTGATGCCCAGAACACGTCTCCTAATGAGTGGAAAAGTAAACAAACAGGTGAAAGGCTAAAGGGGGCAACTTGCCTCTGTCATTAAGTCTCCTGATTCTTAGAGCTGACCCCACAGATCTCATATTCCAGGCTTCCCCTGCCCCCACCCACTCCACCTTCCCATGGCCCTGCCATGTTCCCACCTGTTGTCTGTATGCCCCTGGCTGTTAGAAGACCAAATCACGTAATACCATAGGTATCTTTGTCTTTCTAACTCATTCAGATCTCTCTGTTGGAGAGAGAGAGAAAGAGAGAGAGAGAGGGAAAGGTGAGGTAAGGAATGTATAAATGAGTATATGGAGAGTAAATATTTATACGTGCAGGTTGATGAGCAAGTATATGGGTATCAAATAGAGGGGTCAAGTGTATAATAGTGCCTAAAGATGTGTACGGGAGTGATGGAAATGTGTGAGAGTGTGGGCACAGGTAGGTGTGAGGGTATAAGGGGTCATGTGGGAAGGTGAATGTGTGAGTGTAGGGTCTGCCAATTCCTGTGGTGTAAATACTCCCACGTTGGCCAATGTGACTGAACATAGAGTTGGGAAGGGATGTGTACAATCAGCTCTCCTAAGTGGGCCCAGACTGTTTCCAGGACACTAGTGGACATGTGTGGGTAGATGTGCAAGTCTTGGTGAGTGTGTAGGGTACAGGGGATGTGAGGGTATAGGGTGGATAAATGTGTGAGTCTGGGTGAACATAGGTGGATTTGGGAGATGTAGGTGAACAACCGTGAGTAGATATGAGCGTCCCCTCATCTCTCAGTGATGTGTGGGGTGGGGGTAAGTGCTGGAAAACATGCACAGAGAGCCTTAAACTTGCACCCCAGGCCTCAGACATCCAAATTTCCTCTGCTTGAGGCCCCTTGCCCATGGCAACCAGGCCCACCACCTACTCCCAAAATTCTATGACAGGTGAGGTGAAGTTCTCAGAGGATGTCACTGTGTTGGCTCCTGAGTGGTTCAGAAAGTCCATGCAGTGCTCTGTTGGGGAAAAGGTGAGGAGTGCATTAGCTAGGGATGAGATAGGAAGAGATGCCCTCACACCCTAGTACCTCTGACCCTCTGGTCTTACGGCCTGGTGGTTGTCAACATCCCAGATCCAAAGAGTTTCCTTTGAAATCCCCACCTCCAGAGTGTCAGGAATTGGCTGCTCAGGTGATTCATGGGCTCAGCCCTCTACCCCATGTGCCTCACTCTGCTCTTGTTCCAGCCCACCAACCTCTGACACAATCCAGCCACCACAAGCCCAGCCCCTAGGGAAAGACCACATCCCAGGAGTTGAAAAGAGAGATACCTGTGTTCCAGGTATTGGTACAGGTTGTCCAGGGCAGCTCAGAGGTGAAGGAGCTGAACAGATAGAAGAGGGCCCAGGCAAGAATGATGATGTAGTAGATGTTCAAATAGGACTCGATGACCACAGATGCCAAACCAATGCCTTCGGAATGGGGGGAGGGGCAGGAAGCAATAAGAGAATCCATGAGATCAACGTCAGCCCAAAAAAGTCACCTAGAAACTGCCAGTTATGATTAGGATACTAGGTGCTACACAAAGAGAACCAGGTTTTATTTATTGGCCTGAGAAGCCACTTACAGACTGTTTTTCTGAGTAAGAAAAGTGGGTTACAGAACACTATCCTATGCATCCTGCCATTTTTATAATATACTAGAGGCCTGGTGCACAAAATTCATGCACTGGGGGGGGGGGGGGGGATTCCTCAGCCCGGCCTGCGCCCTCTTGCAATCCAGGAGCCCTTGGGGAGTATCAGTAGGACATCCTAGCACTGCCCTGGAGGCAGGAGAGGCTCCCACCACCTCCGCTGCACGTGAGCCAGCTCAGGGCTTCTGGCTGAGCAGTGCTCCCCCTGTGGGAGTGCACTGAACACCAGAGGGCAGCTCCTGTGTTGAGTGCCTGCCCCCTGATGGTCAATGTGCATCATAGCCACCGGTCCTTCTGCCATTTGGTCGATTTGCATATTAGCCTTTTATTATATAGGATATTTGAATGTGGTTTTTTATGAGAAAAATTCTGGAAGGATGGGAATCCAAAAGTTAACAAGCGGTTCCCTAGGTCAGTGCTTTTTCAAACTTTTCCATTTCATGATGCACATAAACTAATTACTAAAATTCTGCAGCACACTAAAAAATATATTTTTTGGCCAATCTGACAAAAAATAAAAGTAGGTATAATTTTGATTCATTCACACCCAACAGCTACTGTTGTGCTGGCTATTGTCACTTTTTAAGTTGACAATCTAAGGGAAAAGAGGTCAATGTCCCTGACTAAATAGTCAGGAATTGCATGTTTTAAAAATTGTTGTGGCCCACGAGTTGAAAATCGCTGCTCTAGGTTATAAGATTTGAGTTCACTTCTTACAGGTTTTTCTTTTTGCCTATCTGCATTTTCTACTTTTTCTAGTACAATCATACATCACTTGTAACATTTTTAAAGGGTGGGAAGAACACAGGAGTAAGTATGGAAATTTTGGTAAGAATCTGTCTCAAAATAAGGCTCAAAATAAGAGCCAAAACCAGAAGAAAGCAAGGAAGAGAGCGCCGTCCAGACCTGTAGAGCCTGCTCAGCCTAAATGGCATCTCCCCCTGGGGGGCAAGTGTGGGCTGCCAGTGAAGCGTGTCGTTTGGACACCTAGCAGCAGTGGGGGCTTAGGGCGCAGCCAGTCACCTGGGCCGACCCTAGGAGACTGGGGTGGGAGGGCGGAGATCGGGAGCAGTCACCCACCCCGCCTTTGCCACTTTGGGTTAAAAGTAGCACAGCGCTGGCTGAGGTTAGTCTCGAGGTGTGAGAGCCAGCGGGGAGGTAGAGGGGGGGGGGGGGGGCGCTCCAGCCCAGGAGAGGAGCTGCTTGTTCATCCTGCCTCCAGTCCCGGAGGATGTCAAACTCAAGAACTAACTAATGAAGAAGGTGGGAGACCTAGAGAGCCCAGGGCTGGTGGAACAATCCACGCTGACGGGCAACAATGCCCCCCACCCCCACTCCGGGCCAGGCCCAGATTCCTATTGGCCCATTGGCCTGGCAAACTCCGGGGTTTGGTGGGGGAGGGGGGCCGGGGACAGAGACGGGGCAGCTTCGGGTTGGGCCACGGGAGGGGACGTGGCGAGGGCTCCCGATAGCGAGGGGGTCCCCGGGAGCTGGCAGCCACCAGGCGGAGTATTCAGAGCGAACAGAGCCGCACTGCAAACAAGCAGCCACTGTGCGCGGACGCGCTGTGCTCCCACTGCCGCCCACCCAGGAGCCCCACCCGCTCTAGGAGGCCGCCGGGCTGGAAGAGGCCCGCCCATCTCTGCGGGTGGGGATGGGGTGGGCAGGAAGCAGGCGCCTGCGTGTAAGCTGAGGGAGGCGGTGGCTGTGGGTGAGCTGAGGGGTGAGTTTCCTCGTTGCCTCGCCCCTGCGCTCAGGCTCCCCGGGAGGGTGGACGTGGGGCGGGCTGGGTGGGGGCCGTTAGGCATGTACAGGGCAGGGAGTACCAGCCTGAACCGTCCCACCAACATGGGTGCACACAACTGAAGTGAGCCTTTGCCTGAGACCTTAGGCCTTGGGGTCTCTTCAACTGGGAGAATAAGAAGGGAGCAGCAGTCTCCCCCAGGCCTCCACCCAATGCTGGTTCTGCTGCCCTGCCCATGGCGTCCCTGTCGAGTTAGTACCTCTGTGCTCCAGAGGCCAGCCCTGCTTGTGCCACTCCTGAGCTGGCGTGGCCCCGCATAGAACCCAGCTGTGGGCTCTGGCTGAAGGCACAGCACTCCTGGAGCCCCAGAACTCCGGAGCAGAAACCTGAGTGGGCCAAGCTCCACCCTGCACCAGTCCCTCACCGCTGCCCCCACAGGGCCTCATGAGGCCTCCAGAGGAATCAGCCAGGCTAGCCTACCTCCCCTCTCCCAGGCAGTGGTCAGGTTCCCAGCCTGCTCAGGAGCTGGTGTCCCTCATTATGCCCACTTCTGTCCAGCCTACCAAGCTGGGCCCCAGCCCCAGGCAGCCCAGGCCCTGGAGCTCCCTTGGGGGCTGACATGAGGGAGGGAGGGTCCTCTCTCCATTTCACATATTCAAGAAAACTTTCAGGGAGGAGGAGAACCCTCGGGTTTCTCTCCCGCTGGCCCGCGGGGGACTGGCCCAACCCACTTTAGAGGGGCTGGTGGAAGGACACCCCAAGCTGCTCACATTGGTGCCAACCGATGCAGAGAGAAGAGGGCAGGGGTTGTCCCTAACATCATCCCTAACATAGGAAAGAGCATGAACCTTCAGCTCAGGTAGATCTGGGTTCAAATCCTTGGCAAATAACCTCATTTTTCACATCTGCAAAATGAGGTGACGAGAGTTATTATTGGAGAATTAGGTGAGGAACTGCAGGGAAAGCGCTGACATGAACTCTGACACACAGTAGGGCTCAACAGGTGTTAGACATCATCATCATCACTATTATTATATACTTTGGAGGCATGTCTGGGACCACCATATGCACAGCCACACGTTTTCCATGAAGCTGGTGAAGATGAAGCTTCAGGGTCTCCCATTTGCAAGGCTCTGCTCCTGATTTTCCATTTGTGACCTTGTATTGACTTTCTTGAGGAGTGCCTTCCTCCTCAGCATGTATAAGCCTGAATGTATCTCCTAAGTCCCTCACAGCACTTAGCGCAGTATGAGAGTGGTTCAATGACAGGGTACTGAGCAGATAGGAACGGAGAGTCAACAGTGAGATGGAGGCAGGGTGGTGGCCTGCGGGGAGGTGGGCCCGGGAGAACACTTACCTTGGAGAAGGGGGCAGATCTTCCTCCAGGCTGTGACGCTCCCTTGGCTGGTGTACTGGCCCAAGGCCACCTCCAAGAAGAACACCGGGATGCCACACGTGAAGAAGAAGATGAAGTAGGGGATGAAGAAGGCTCCTGCAGAGGAAGGAGAGGTATGGGCTAAGCCTTTAGCCTAGGCCTTCATCTCCCTCCTCACCCCTCCCAAGGGCACAAGTCGGCTTCCTCCTATCTGTGCCCAAGGACAGGCGGAAAATTTTCCAGTCTGAACCTTACTCAGGACAGGAAAGCTCTTGGAAGGGAAATTTCGGTGGAAATCCTAATGTATGCACTATTTATTTGCTCAGTGTGTTTCACAAATCTAGTCAATTTATTATTTTTGGAACAAAAACATGTGTTCTGTATAATTTGATATGCTTATTAAATTATCACATTTGTTACATTTTAGAGAAAAACAAATAAACAAAAACACCTTGGAAAAATTATTCTCCCTCTAATAATTTCAGAGGGACTTTTCCCTCCATCAGGCTCTAATCTGAACTGGGCTTCTGCAGAGAAGGCCACTCCTCTGCTCAGCCCCACTCTCAGGAACGGGGGTGTCAGCCAGCCAGGTGGTCAGGCACTGACTACAGGCCCTGACAGGAGGCGGGGCCTAATAGACATCCAGCAAATTACATATGAGTAAATTTGAAGGCAACCCTAAGCCCACAGTACCCACTTCGGTCACAAAGACATACCCCACCTCAGAAGTATACCCATGGGCCGATGGATCATTGTTTATCGCACAATAATAACACTTAGCACTTATTTGGTGCTTACTGTATGTTAGGCACTCTTCTAAATGCTTCACCAAAATCAAAATCCTCACACAACAACCTGCCATTATATCCATTCTACAGATGAAAAACTGAGGCCACTTTAAAGATTCAAAAACTGAGACACAGATGAGAAAAGTGAAGCACAAACCCAAGTGGTCTTAGTCTGCACTCTTAACTACTACATTATAGTCCTAGTCAGTTGGCTCAGTGGATAGAGCATTGGTCTGTGGACTGAAGGGTTCCAGGTTTGATTCTGGTCAAGGACATATGCCCAGGTTGCAGGCTCGATCCCCAGTAGGGGGCGTGCAGGAGACAGCCAATCAATGATTCCCTCTTATCATTGACTAGAGGCCCGTGCACAGATTCATGCACCAGTGGGGTCGCCTAGCCTGGCCTGTGCCCTCTCACAATCCAGGACCTCTAGGGGGATGTCAGACTGCCGTTTTTGGCCTGATCCCCACAGGGCTCAATCCCACTCAATTGGGCCCTGCTGCGCCTGCTGTGGGAACGCACTGACCACCAGGGGGAAGCTCCTGCATTGAGCGTCTGCCCCCTGGTGGTCAGTGTGCATCATAGCAACCGGTCGTTCCATTGTTCGGTTGATTTCCATATTAGCGTTTTATTATATAGGAAACTAGTAGCCCAGTGCATGGATTCATGCACATTGAAAGGAAATTAATTAGAAGGTGGCCACTGGGCGAGACAGGCCAGACATGCCCTGGAGCCAACCTCTCGCAGTCCCTCCCCAGCTGGCTGCACCTGGGGCAGTGCTGTGGCTCGAAGGGCATCTGTAGAGTGAGCGGGGTCCTCTGGCAGGTGGGTTCCCTCAACCTGGCCTGTGGGGATCGGGCCAAAACCAGCAGTCTGACATCCCCTGAGGGGTCCCAGAGTGCAAGAGGGCAGTCTGCAAAGTTGCTGTCACTCAGCAGCTCCTGCATTGAGCATCTGCCCCCTGGTGGTCAGTGCCCATCATACCTACCAGGTGGTCGGCTGGTCAGCCAGTCACTTAGCTTTTTATATAGATAGATGTTTCTATCTCCCTCTCCCTTCCTCTTTGAAATCAATATATTTATTTATTTATATTATTATAATATATCTTAACCACTACATTATAATGTCCCTCAAGTAATCCATATTACTTTGTAGAAGAATAGAAAATACAAAGAAAAAGAAAGGAAAAAGCATTATATATCCTTTCAATTTCCTACAAACATACAGATATATGTATATATATATATATATATATATTTCTCTTTTGGAAAAAATGAGACCTTACTATGTATTATTTCATAACCATTTTAAAATGTATATCGTGAACTTCTTTTGATATCAGTAAATACATCTCTATGCCATCATTTACTGGCTGTATAGTATTCCACCTTAGGCATCTGTCCTAGTTTATTTTATCAGCATGACCTTTGGCCTTTTCTGTTGCTTCCTGAGAAAACTGCTATGATGCAGACTGTCATCCACATCCTGTGCACTTGTCTAATCTGCTCCTTAGTATCAATTTCAACAGAGGAATTGGTGGGTCAGAAGGTATACACTTTTTTTATTTTTGCTTTTTTTTGGTAAAATATATATAACATAAATTTTACCATTTTAACAATTTTTAAGTATACACTTCAGTGGCATTAAGTAAGTACATTCACACTGCTGTACAACCATCACCACTATCCGTCTCCAGAACTTTTTCAGCCATCACAAACTGAAACTCTGTACCCATCAAACACTAACCACCCATTCTCTTCTCTCCCAGACCCTGGTAACCACCATTCTTTTTCTCTCTGAATATGCCTTTTCTAGACACCTCATATAAAATGAATCATACAGTACTGATCCTTTTGTGACTGGCTTAGTTCACTTAGCATAAGGTCTTTAATATTCAGCCATGTTGTAGCATGTGTTAGAATGTCCTTCCCTTTTTTTAAAAAAAAAAATATATATATATATATATATTTATTGATTTCAGAGAGGAAGGGAGAGGGAGAGAAAAATAGAAACATCAATGATGAGAGAATCATCAATTGGCTGCCTCCTGCACACCTCACACTGGGGATCAAGCCTGCAACCTGGGCATGTGCCCTTGACCAGAATCGAACCTGGGACCAGTCAGTCCGCAGGTTGACACTCTATCCACTGAGCCAAACCAGCTAGGGCTGTCCTTCCTTTTTTAAAAAAATAATTTTTTTATTGATTTCAGAGAGGAAGAGAAAGGGAGAGAGAGCTATAAACATCAATGATGAGAGAGAATCGTTGATCAGCTGCCTCCTGCACGCCTCCTACTGAGGGTCAAGCCTGAAACCTGGGCACCTGCCCTGACTGGGAATCCAACTGTGACCTCCTGGTTCATAGGTTGATACTCAACTGCTGGGCCACACTGGCCGAATTTATATATATACTAGAGTCCCGGTATATATATAAAATCTGTGCACTTAGGGGGGAGGGGTCCCCTCAGCCCAGCCTGCACCCTCTCGCAGTCTGGGAGCCCTCGGGGGGTTGTCCGACTGACGCAGAGGCGGGACAGGCTCCCGCCATCGCCACTGAGCTCACCAGCCGTGAGCCTGGCTTCTGGCTGAGCGGCGCTCCCCCATGGGAGCGTACTGACCACCAGGGGGCAGCTCCTGCGTTGAGCGTCTGCCCCCTGGTGGTCAGTGTGCATCACTAGTGACCGGTCGTTTCACCGGTTGGTCGATTCGTGTATTAGCATTTTATTATATAGGATTTGAGTTTTTTCCACCTTTCAGGTATGAACATTTTTTAAAGATCTTTCACGTGCATTTCCAAATTGCCCTCCAAAATTTGTGTACCAATCTGCATTACCAACAGCAACACATGAGAAGGATTTGTGGGTCTTCAGGCCCCAGGCAGCCACAGCCAGCCAGTAACTCTCCCTTAAGTTCTGAAGTCCTTTATATCCTGAGTAATGCTAGAGCATCAGTCACCTCGGGCTAATCAACACCACTGACTCTGGTTTCCTGGCTTAGAGAGTTGCAGGGATTCGGCTGGGAGTGGTGCTCAGGAGAAGGGATGTGGCTGGGAGACTCCCCAAGGGGAATTTTACAGGAAGTCTGTGGGGGCACATGACCCAGAGGCTCCTTCCCACCTGCTGTGTGGTGACCCTTCCCCTCTAGTCAAGGAAATGGCTTTAGTTCTATTATTGAAATGGAGACTTCTGCCCCACAGAGGAAGGGGTGCCCTCAGGAGGCCTGGAGCTGGGCCTGCCTCAGGTTGAGTCCACCCAGGAAGGGAGGGACCAGGCTTGGGGCTTTGGGACACTGAGAGGAGGTTGGGTCTAGATCAGTGATGGCGAACCTTTTGAGCTCAGCATGTCAGCATTTTGAAAAACCCTAACTTAACTCTGGTGCCGTGTCACATATAGAAATTTTTTGATATTTGCAACCATAGTAAAACAAAGAATTATATTTTTGATATTTATTTTATATATTTAAATGCCATTTAACAAAGAAAAATCAACCAAAAAAATGAGTTCGCATGTCACCTCTGACACGCGTGTCATAGGTTCGCCATCACTGGTCTAGATGGACTATAGGGGTGCTTTCCCTGTGGGTTTCCAACCATGATCACTGCAAACACCCTCCCCTCCACCTCCCTTGGGGGGTGATCCTGGCTCAGTTTTATCGGTACCTGCCCAGGCCATGGGCACAGGCAGTCTGTAATGCCACAGGGATCTGTGCACACGGGTGCCTGGAGGCCTGTACAACTCTCCCTCCCTCTGCGCTAAGGTGCGCCTGCGCCTCAGTATCCCTGCCACGCACTCTCCCCTGAACTGCTGACAATCAGGAAACTCAGAATTTCCTGAAACTCTCTTTTGGAATAAATAATTTGAGGATGATCTGTTTTTGGTGACTCCCTGCTTTTTTATAACCAAAGACATTATTAGACCAATAACTTTATTACACTTTCATTCCTTTTGAAAGATTGTTCTCTACAGAACTAGAGAAAAATAATTAATAATCCATCGACAACCATTTTAACTAATAATTATTAAGAATTCTTTTTAATTAATATATTAGTAGACACTATATTTAACTGCCACCCAGAGCTTATGGTCAGCTTGAGATAAACCATATTACCACACAGAGTTAGTACAATTCTAGTCTAAAACAAAAAACTGACATTTAGGTCAGCCTGTGGAGTTCCCACATAGATCTATTATAAGTCGTCCAGATAAGGAAATTACTCCCTGGACCTTCACTGCTACCTTCCTAAAGCCCCAAAGACCAGTGACCCCAGAGGGAGACCCCAACCTCGCTTGGTCCCCGCATTAAAGGGAACATGATCGAGGCAGCATGTCTTTCCCAAACAGTTAGGTTGGGACAGAGCTAAGTGAGAACATGGGTGACAGAAATGAACACAGAACCTGCACAGTAAATGTGATCTGGTCTTGACATTTCCCAGGTGACCCGGGCTCAGCCTGTCCCCGCATGCTGTCATAGGTGCTTGTCTCTCACCCCGCCGCATGGTCAGTACAGAGGTCATGGCCACAGCTGCAGCCACCAGGCAGGACAGAGGCGGGGTGGGCACTGGAACCTGGGCTGGCATCGTCCCTTCTTTTCAGATGGCAAGGCGAGGGGCATGCAGCGATGTGGGAGCCAGCGAACCTGGCTTCCGGGACCTCCTGCTGCCACCCAGCTCTGTGGTTTGGGGTGCCCTCTATGAAATGAGGGCTCTGCCTAGATCATCTTTAGCTCTAGCTCTAACATCCTATGGGTCCATGAAACTGTGGCCTGGGATAAAGAAGTAGGTCGCTGCCTCTAGCTCTTCTTCCTGGTCCAGCATTAGTCCCCCACTCCCAGTTTTGGCTCCATAGCCCTAACCTTCCCAGGAAACCCTATTTCTATTTCTTCAGAGTCATTGATTCAAGCAATTTGTAATAATAACTGAGCAAAATGCATGGTGGATACTCAGTAAAAATGTGTCGAATTAAATATAGATAGTGTTTCAAAGGATTTTCTAAATAATGGTTACCTGTACATGAGAATGTTTCTTGTTTGCTTGCTTGTTTGTTTTTTACCTTCCAGAATATTTCTAATGTTCACTATCTATATATATAAAAGTCCAGTGACTGAATAACAGAATGACCAGAATGACCAGTTGCTATGATGCACACTGTGGCGGCCAACTGGCCCGATTCGGGCCCCAATTGGCCCCCCAACCTCCCGTGGCCCCTCCATCTGGCTAGCCTTTCCTCCAAAAGCCCCCCTCCCACCCTGATTGGGGGCGAGGCCAGCCAGCCAACTGCCCACGGCCCCTCCCCCCGGCCAGCCAACCTCCTGGTGTCCGTCCCCCTGGGCAGGTCCCCCTGATAGGCCTGGATTGCTGGCCAGGCCAAGATACCCCACCTGTGCATGAATTCATGCACCAGATCTCTAGTAAACATATTATTTCCACAAGAGTGCAGGTATTTCGAAAGGCAAGCATGGATCTGGCCAGTCACAAATAAATTCATGGAAATATGAAATATTCCAAATAGGTAAATTCATCGCATAGAATGTAGATTAGCAGTTGGCAAGGACTAGCGGGAGAGGGAATAAGAAGTGACTATAAACAAGTACAGGGTTTCTTTTGGGGATGATGAAAATGTCCCAAAATTAATGGTGGTGATGTCGGCACAGTTCTGTGAATACACTAAAAACCATTTAATTGTGCACTTAAAAGGAGTATTCTGGCCCCTCCCTACCAAGCCCCTGCTCATTTTTACTACCAGTGCTGAAAAATAATAAAATTATGTTTCTTTAATTTTAAAAACTCATAGACAAGATAATATCTTTCCACTGATTGAAACTCCTCAGTGGTTCCCACCTCACTCGGAGCAGAGCCTGCGAGACCTGGGCCGCTGCCCCACTGTTCAAGTGTTCTGCACCTGGTTTCCATCGATGAGAGTCGCTCCGTCACCTCCTTCAACTCTTTAGTCTAATGTCTCCTCCTCAGTGAAATGTGTCTTGGTATCTTAGTTTATATTTCAAACCCCACTCCCTCCCCTGTGGCCCAGCACTCCCTCTTTCTCTTCCCGGCTTTGCTTCTCACCGTTTCGCTCATCACCATGTGACATACCACATATTTTACTCATTTGCCTGCAATCTGCCACCCTGCACTAGAATACAACCTGTGGAATAGGTTTGTTTTCTGTCTAGAACAGTGGCTGGCACGTGCTGTGCCCACAATAATATTAGTTGAATAAATGAATGACTCCTGTCAACACTGGCATGTATACAGAGCAATGAAGGAGCTTATTAAAAACTCAGATTCCTAGGTCCTGCTGTTGCTCATTTAATCTTTGCTGTAGCCCTGTGGGGTGTCATCACCATTTCACAGAGGGGGACACTAAGGCCAGTGGTGGAGCTAGAACTCGAACTCAAGTCCTCTGCTCCATCCCAGCTTCCTTCCATTTTACCATAATGCCCAGGCAGGAGGCACCCAGGTGGGCACTGCCTGGTTATCAGGGCACAGCTCTCCCCACCGCGCCTACCTCAAAATGAACTCACCACCTCCATTTTTGTAGCAGAGATAAGGAAACCTCCAGACATTGCCCAGCCCAATGATCTCCCCGGCCACTGACAGCACAAACTCCATCTTGTTGGTCCATTGGCCCCGATCCTTCACCTGGTCCTCGCCTTCCTGGTCCAGCTTCTCTCCCTCCTCAGGGACCCAGGTGACCATAGGAGGCACATCCTCATGGGCTGCCACTTTCCTGTCCATAGCCCCGTAATGGATCCAGAGGCCACTGAGCTGGGAGTGGGGCCAGATGGTGAGAGAGGCACAGCCTGGTGGGAGGAAAAGCAATGAGCTGTGCAACCCCAACACATGCCTGCCATCCTTGCTTTCCCAATCCTAATCTTTAATTACTATTGGAATATTGCTTTAATTTGCTGGAATGTTGCTTTAAAATTGATTTACTTCTGAAGCTCTCAATGGCATTTACACCTAAAGTTATGCTTTGCTCTCATGACTCTAAAAACAAATAGGGACCAAATCTTAGCTTGCCCATTTTGTCGATGGGAACACCCAGGCCTTGACAGATGAAGTGACTTGTCTAAAACCATTTAGAACTATATTTAAACCCAGGCTTCCTGCCTTTTATTCCAAGTCCCTTTTGATCTTCACAGCCAGCCACCTGTGTGCCCCAGCTCCTCAGCCTTCAGGCCAGAAGGGATCAAGGCTGCCAGGGATGACAGGTCAAAGGGCAGATGTGGCGGAGGTGACTGCATGGTTTTCTGCTGGCCAGCTGTGTGCTCGTCCCTGTGCCAGAGTGATCAACGAACTCAGGGTAAACATGGGAGCCAGCTAGCTCAAGACATCTGATTGGGCGGGAAGGGGAAGGTGGGGCCTCTGAGCAAGGCCAGATGAGGACTAGGATTGGTGCCAGGACCGAGGGTAGGACTTCAAAGGAACCCTGGTTCTTTTTCTCTGTTGGACCTCTGTTCTGAGAACAGGGTGGAGTCCTGGTGATAGAAGGGATTACCAGAGCGATTCTCACTTGGGTGGTGGTCTTCTCCAGATCAGAGTGACCCCTCAAGGAATGGGCTCGGAAGTAGCTGCATATCATAGCAGGTCGCTGCCCTTCCCTACTCTTTGCTCTACTAATGAGCCCAACGCTCCCTGGACTTTCAGGAAAATCACGTGGGCCACTCAGTTTTACTCTGCCCTCTTGTTGTCTGTTTGTCAATTGCCACGACACAGATGGCTGGTGTTGTTCTAAAAATCGCTATTTGCCTCCCCTTCTCTCTCCCCCACCCCACAATCTCCCTGAGGCTACCTCTTGCCTCTGTTTCCCTTGGGCTGCCAGGAGGAGGTGCCAAGAGTGCAGAGGGGAGCACCCCCCCTCCCCGCTCCTTGCCTACGAAGGAAGGGCGTTGGGGCATCAAGTCACTCGGAGTCACCAAGTGCTCCATGCTCCTCCATGGCTCTGGGGAAACACAGGGTCCTTTATATTAAAAGAAGAGTCTGTGTTTATTTGTTGGTCCTTTTAACCCAGGCAACAGCCCAAGTCCAAGGTGTGGCAGGAGCCATTCGAGGTTGTGGAAATTTTTGAAGGTGACTTGAAGGGTGCAGGTTATCCCAGGAATGGGAACGCATGTCAGGGTGAAATTCCGGTGTTGGCACCTACTCAGAGGCTGCTATTGCAAGCTCAGCCTCGGAGGGGAGATGAGGAGAGAGGCACACAGTGGAAATCAGAGGCCTCAGCCTCTGATATAAGGGAGGGTGAGTGGAAGAAGGGAATGGAGCAAGCTCCGGGTTCAGAGTAAGCAGCAGACCTCAAGGGCCTTGGGAACCAGAGCCTTAGGTTGAAAGAGCAGGGTAGTCTAGCCCCAGGGGGAACATTGATGATACCTGAACCAATTGTAGATGCTGCTACAGAATTTCAGCTGGGGCACCTTGATGACCGGCCCTTGAATCATTATCAAACAAATGAATGGATGGATGGATGGATGGATGGATGGGTGAATGAATGAATGGATTAAAAAACTGATGAAAAAAGCACCAGACAGAAACCAAAGTTCTAGTCCAAACTGACCTAACAATAGTAATCAGTTAACATTTGAATAAGCTCTGTCCTAAAAACATATACATCTTTATATACATTATTAGATTTCATCTTCATCAAAATCTTTGGGTATTACTATTAACTCCATTTTATAAATGAGGAAATGCTCAGAGAAATTAAGGACGAGAACTGAGCACATCAGGTGCTCAGTAAAAGCTTTTTTTGAATGGTTTGCATAAACTTACCAAAGCAGTAAGTAGTGGAGCTGAGTCTCTAACTTGCTGTGTGACCCTAGGCAAATCACACCTCCTCTCTGGGCTTCACGCCTCCTGGAAGAGAGAATAACCTCTGCTCAGTAGGGGTGTTGGGAGGGCAGGGGATCAAAATCAGATCCTTAAAAGACAAGGAAAGATGATTGTCTTTGCTTGCCAAGCCATAGGGTAGCTCAGCTCAGGGTGAGCTTGAGCACAAAAGTCGCCAAAGGGATGGTCAGGAGACAAGCCTTACTGCTCCCCGACCTGAAGCAACTATTTCAGGGGTAAGCTGTCCTCAGCAGTTAGAGGTGGGGAAGGAGTACATGAGGGGGAGCCAGAGGAGAGAGTGGGATCAGGAAGCAAATCTCAGAACCCAGTTTGGCCACAGGATTTGGGTTGTATTGCAGATGGGATAGGGAGAGAAGAGAACATGAACTCATGAACTGACACTAATGTGACTTTTTTTTAGTTAAAAAAAAATGTTATTGGGAGGACCATAACTTAATGGGTAAGAATGAAAAACCGGAATGGCAGAAGGAACGCGAGGGCATGTGAAAAGGAAAGCTGGCCCAGAGCCAGGGTAAGTCAGAGGGAAACAGGCTTAATTTGAGCAACCGGGATTCAGGTTAGACTCAGGGAAGAAATATCCAGGAAGATGTTAGGCATCAAAACAAGCTGTACAGAGCTCTCCTTTTTGGGATACTTTCAAAAGCCAGAAGGACAGTACACCTGGCCCTCCTGCTACCCTCACCCCACCCCCGCTGTGCCCTTCCACCGAAGCCCATTTGCTAAGGATAAACAGCAGTGTTATCCACAGTCAGGATGACTTCCAGAGATCTCCCCCTTCCCAAGTCCACCCCAGCCCTGTCACCTCTCCAGCCCCTAGCATCATCTCCCCAGGCTGCCCACCTGCTCTGCCAAGCTGCAGCAGGGTGTGGGGGCATGCAATGGACCTCACCATACCTCAGTGCCCTCCAGAAGCAAAGAACCAACGGCCACACTGGGCTGCGTGCTGCCCATCGAGGAAATATTCAAAAGACAGCAAGTCCAAAATTAACTGTTTGTAGGAGGCAGGCATGTGGACGGAGGCCTGGCCAGGGTCTAGCAGAGGAGCAGACAAGTGTAGAAATGCTACTCCCTGCATAACTGCTGGAACCCCAGCTCAGCCCTGTCACACCCCAGGCCAGCATGGGACACCCCAGCTCCTGCCTCAGCCCACACCCACATACCAGTTGCCGTTTCCGTACACACACTGGTGCCATTCCCGTCACGTCCCTTTGCACACACATACCTGTGTGCATGGCACCAAAACCTGGCTCCCGTCTAGTCCTTCATACCCTGGGGGCTGCTTGGCTTGGCTGGTAGCCGCCTGCACCTTCCGTCAGCCCCCTCACAACCCCCTTCAGGCACCAGCATGCCCATGCCTTCCCTGAGCCAGGCAGCTTCCTCCTCCTGCTCTGCTGGCAGGGGAACAGGAGCCCCTCACTAGTGGGGTGGGGGGCAGGAGCCCCTGACTTATGATTGCTAACTGCAGACCATGGGCCTTCAGGAATGGCCCAGGTTTCTTCTGTCTGCTTCTCCTCCCACATTGCTGGGCACCGTCTGCTTCCCTCTCGCTCTTAGTCAGGTGATCACCCCCTCCTTCACTCACTCCCTGTGACCGTCCCCCATCTATGGACTTGTCTGCTCCCCAGGCAACTCAGATGCCGTGGATGGTGAGGGGGAGCTGGGACACCCCTTGTCCTGGGATCCTGGGCATCAGACTTTGCTCTGGCCCAGTGCATTGCATCACAGACACACAGTCTGCCTCTCAGGTCTCCTGCTGCAGCCCCTCTGAGGACCCTCCCAGAGACTGTCAAGACAGACCCAGCCCCCCACCTCCTGCTCACCTCAGCCCCGATCCCGGCTCCTGTGGTCAGCTCAGCTCCATGCCTCAGGTCCCCAGGAGAGCCCAGGGAAGCCACTACGGGAATACCCAGAGAGACAGGACCTGAAAGGGAAATTGTCCTCCACCTTCGCTCCTTCTCCTGTTCTCCCAGCTCAGAATCCCATCTGAGCTGTGTCCTGGGCTCCCAGACAGAAAGTGACTGGCGTGTGTGTGTGTGTGTGTGTGTGAGTGTGTGTGTGAGTGTATTGGGAAGTGAAGGGGCAGAGAAATACCACGAGCAACAGGAGGGATTGAGGTCAAAAGTTTGTGAACCAGGATTACAACATCTAATCTCAGTAAGTCAAGTCCTCTGTCCCCAGTCCCCCACCCCCACTCCCTCCCTCCGCAGCCCCTCCCGCCCTCCCTCCCAGCGTGCTGTCCCAAGAGGACCCCTCCAAGCGGGGCTCAGAGACTCAGATCTGACCTCAGCTCTCCTCCTTTTGTCCCTTGCCCTTTCCCTCATCCCCCTTCTCACCTTGCCCGCTCCTGGTACCAGCTCCTTCCTAGGGGTGAGGAGATAAGGCCAGCCCTCTCTCGCCAGAGCAGAGGATGGAGCACCAACTCCCAGGCTGGAAACCGAGAACCTCAGAGGGGAGTTGGCCTCAGTGACAGAGTCCGGGAGGAGGGTGAATCACATGCTGGACTTTTCCACCAAGTACTTGCCCTCTGTGGTTTCGAGGCAGGCTCAGGACCTGCACAGCAACTACCCTTTTCCTTGGGATTTTCCTAGAGAAAGTGCCCAGAGCACACCTCAAGGAACCCAAAGGACACAGGTTTGCAGTCACACCTGAGTTTGAACTCCTCCTCTTCTCATTTATCCTATTATGAGCCTCCGTTTATCAATCTGTAAAAGGTACCAGTATATTACAATACCCACTTTGTAGAGTTGCTGTGAGGGCTGAAGCAATAGGGTGAACTGCTTGGGATAACATAGGTGCTTAAGGGGAATTGTAGGTGTTTGCTGTGGGTCCTCTGAAGGCTGGGGCTGGCGTGGTAGAGTGTGTGGTCCAGGCAGCCCTAAGGCGCACAGCTGTGCCTTGTCTGGTTGCCTGGCAGCTATGAGTGGTGAAACGCACTGAATAATGTGTATGTCCCATGCTGTGCGCCGGGGAGCTTATCCAGAACAGGGTCCTGTCTCTATTCCTGAGCACACCCTCACGGTGTTGGAGGACTGACCGAGGCCCATTCATTCAGATTCATTCAGAACAGCTGGTGTCTCTTTCAAGGCAATGAAGATGCTTCTTCAGCTGTAGATGGTACGGAGGAGGGGAAGTTGTGGGGAGAAGGGGAAATTTCCCTTTGCAGGAGCTTCCCCTATATATTTTAGAACTTCCCCGCAGGGCTGAGATTGAAGTGAGAATCTCTGTTTGTAATTTTCCATCAAGCACCCCCCTCGCTGTATCTCAGGCCCCTCCTCAGCACCTCATGTGGGTTTCCCTGCCAAGGGGAAGCCAGAGTGAATCTCAATTCTCAGACCTTTGCCTCTGAGAAAGCAGGAGGCGGGCTGGGGGTCACGCCCAGCACAGCAGGGTGTGAGCAGAGCAGCCAGAACTCACACTCCAATCACCCTGTGCTCATCTGGGTGCTGTGCCTGCACTGCTGCATCTGCCCTGTTCAGCATGCTGGGCCCATGTGTCCACCATGGAGCTTACTGCAGAAGGGACAGCAACGTCCATTCAGCTATTCCAGAACAAAATACCCACCCGGCCTCTCCGTGAAGGGGAGCGAGAGGGAAGAGAATCAGATGAGGCAGAGGACGAATATCCTAGCCATTCATTCATTCAAAAACTATTTTATGCCGACAAGGTGTCACACTTTCTGCTAGTACCTGGAGATATGTGTGGTTCAGCAGTCTTGTCATCTCTCCTTCACCTTGTAGAACAGCTGCCTTGTTTGACCTGGCCTCCCTTGAACTTGAAACCTCACAAACTCAAGCCCACTCCAACTCCCCACCCCCCACTTCCAGCCTCCACTGGACACTCAGAGCAATTGGTAAACCCCTGCAGGCCAGAGACCCCATCTGTGCAAAAGGCAGGATCCCTAAACTACCTGGAAAGCCTACCAGAGACTGGCAGTTTTCATACTGGGAAGGGTCCAGAGATAAGACGGAATATGGTTAAATAAATCAGTTACCTCACTGCAGTGAGAGCCGTGAACCCCATAGAATCTTCTCATCTCCTGCCCCCATGCCTGCTTTTAGTGGGCCTGGCATGGAACCTATTTCCTAAGCATCTCACTCAGGCTAGGTACTTTACATGTTACTCCATTTGCTCCTCACAAGAACCTTGAAATGTAGAAATTATCAGCCCCATTTTACAGATAAGAACTTTGGGGTGACTTGTCCTAAGGCCATGTAGAACTAAATGATGGAGCTAGGATTTGAACCTGGAACTCTTGGCTCCAAAAATCTATGCTTGCACTGCAGCATACTGTTCCCCAGACCCTGACTATTTAAAGAGCAGGTGTCACATTCTGTAACTCTGTGTTTTTTGTCCCCAGCATTTATTGCAGTGCTGGCAGAGTAGGCATTCAATATTTCTCGGGTGGATGGATGGGTGTGTGGGTGGGTGGCTGGGTGGATAGATGCAGCTTGAGGTGGGGAAATGATCTTAAGTCTTCTCTCTTCTGGGAGGGCATTGGTCTCCCAGAACCAGGAGATAGACTGGGGCTTGGAGGACTCAGACCTGATTTTCTTGGACAACATTCCTGGTGCTGAAAGGGCACGAGGCTCACAGGAGGCAGGGTTATTTTAGGGCTACCTCTCCCTTGCCTCCTAGCAAAAATGCTTAGCTCAATAAATGTGTAGCCTTCTTTCTGGGGCCCAGTGCAACCAGATGCCTGAGGCCAGGAAGCCAGAGGACAGCAAGGATGTCTCTGAACTCCTGGGTTTTTCTGTTTCATTGACAACCCAATATGGTGGGGCTGGAGTCAAGGGAAATAGGATAGATGCTTTCCCAGAGCAGCTCTCCTCCACTGAACTCCAACAACACAATGATGTAAGTATTCTTATTCCCACTTTACAGGAGAGAAAACAAATGATCAGAGAAATTAACTTGCCCAAGGTCACAGAGCTAGTACACGCAGGCTAGGACCGACACCCCAGGACTACAGCCTCTATGAGGGAGTGTACTCGGCTGTCAGTGGCGTGGCTGAGCTTGTGCACATTTATCTGATGGTAATGAAGGAGTGCGTCTGTGTGCAGATGTATGGATCAACCTGAAACGTGTGCCGGGTCCGAGGTATGAGATCTGAGGCCCCAAGGCAGCCTGGTGGGCTTGGTACATGACTAGTTACTTCCCTATCTCCAAAGGCCCTGTTTGTAAGCCTCCAGTTTCCTATGCGTCTGCTCTCTCCATTCAGCTCTCACTTGCCACAAGGCTCTCTGCCTGCCTTTCTTCCTTTGACTTTCTCCTCTAACAGGTGTGGTCTCTAAATAAGAGAAGGCTCCCCTGCCTTTTATATCTTCTTCCTCTGAGAACTGGTATCCGCCCTTCCAGGCAGAGAGAGCAAATGGACTGAGCTCACCCTGTCCACACCTCCCTGGGCTAAAACCACGCCTGCGCATTCCTGCTCCCTTTCCCCATGCTGGCCCAGGCAAGTGGCTTTTCTCACACATCTCGGCCTGTCAACCCCGCTGGTTGTTGGAGCAGATCCTTCTCATCCACCCTCCAACTAGTTTAATGACCTCAGGCTCACACACCCACTGCCTCATTTGAGCCCTACAACAAACCTATGGGTGGGTGGGGTGCATGGTGTTATCTCCACCTGGAAAAAAAAACACACACAAAAAAACACCAAAGACCTGAATTCCAAGCAACTTCCACAAAGACACACAGCAAGACAGAGGCAGGTCAGGACTAGAGTCTGCATCTCTTAATTCTTATACTAATGGATTCTTTTCACAGTATATCCACCATTAATGCCTCTCCTAAATGGGATTCAAATCACCATTACTGAACTGCCTGCATCCCTCCCCAGGCCTAGCAGATTCTTGCAACTTTGATCAAATGGATGGATAAAGAGACAGATATTACATCCTCAGAATGGCCTTCCCAGACCACCCAACCCAAGTCATCGGGTACCTTCCACACCCAGTTATTCTTTCTCATAGCACTTTGCTCTTTTCTTTCATTGCATTTGTCACAATCTGTCACGTAAACAGTCTGTTTTTGCTCCTCGTGTGTCATGAGCATAGCACAGGCACACAGTAGGTGTTCCGGGAATATTGTCAGATGGATGGAGATGCCAGGTGTGTGGTGTCTCGAGTTTCAGCACGTTTCTCTAGCAGGTTTATTCCTCCCACCTCAGGCCTGTGACTGAGCATGGCATATGTGGGGGACACCCACCCAGTCATGTCCAGAAGGAGCAGCCAAGGCCAACAATCAGCAGGACTGCTTTCACTAATTCTTATAAACTCTCCCAACAACAACAACAAATCAAACCCTGAAGACCAGAAAAGATTCCAGTGCCTTTTCCCACTAACTAACTTGTAAAACAACAACTAAGTAAACCACCCAGGGAATGCGTGCACCCCTCGCCTGCAGTTCCAGGAATCGCTGAATGCTCCCCTGGAACAGCTCGGGAAGAAGGTAGGGGAGGGTAGGTGGGGGTAAGAGGGAGAGATCAACCAAAGGGCTTGTATGCATGCAAATAAGCCTAACCAATGCACACAGACATCAGGGGGGTGAGGGCATGAGCGGGGGTGGGGGTGGGGGGGCAATGGGGGATAAGGACACATATGCAATACCTTAATCAATAAAGAAAGAAAAGAACCATCAAAGCCTCCACATGTTCAGGGAGAAATGCAGTTCTGTGTGTTCAGCCACACACACACACACACATGCTCCACACACAGCTCAGAGGTGAGGCTGTGGGACACACCTGTGGGATTCTCTGGGGCCAAGCCCATGCCCACTTGGCCTTCCACCTGGGTCTTCTTTGCAGCCTAACCCTAAGAGTTCATCTCGCAGCGCAGGCCACCCCCTCGTGGCCATGTCTGGTGGTGCTGCAGTGGTAGCTATCCTCTTTTCAGCGGGAGAGCCTGGAGTCCTGAGGAAGCGGGGTCCCTCTGCTGGCTGAGCTCGGGTAGTGCCACTGCTGTCCCTCTCTTATGCCCCTGACGCCAAGCCCTGGGCAGGCAGGCACACAGACACAGGTTTGGCAGGCGGGGTCAGGCAAGGGAAACATGGGCAGAAGAAGCCCAACCACTTTTTCCACTTCCTTCCTGTAGCTAGGAAGGGCTCCTCCTTCATTCTCCTCTCCATTGCCTTCCTTATTCCACAGAGGGGAGGAGGAGGGAAGGACTCTAGTAGAAGCACGGACAGAGGTGTGACAGATACCACCCCCTCTGGTCCGAGTGTCTGGTGATGGAGGACCTCAGTCAGCCCCATCACCCTTCTCCCTACAGCAATCCCCTCTGCTCATGGTCCACAAGACCTCAGCGAGGAAAGGAGACGGGAGTCTCCTAAAGCCACAACTTTAAAGTGATGAAGGGGTCAAGGTAACAAGGCGGAGGGGCAGGAACCAGGCAGAACTCCTAGCGGTCAGTGGGAAGAACTTGGATTTAATGGAATGAAGGGTAAGAGGGCCCAGAAGCCAAACAGATCTCCCATCCCACCCACCAGTCCTCACCCAGCTTCCCCAGCCCACCTCAAAGGGGATGCTGTGGATACTAGCAGCTCACACCTGCTTAGCCACCCCTGGGGCAGGGAAGTTGGAATGAGAGGCACCCAGCTCAGAAGGTGGATTCCAAAATGCCCCTTTGTCTTATCTACCCCAGGTAGGAGACAGAAGCACAGAGGGACTGCTCCTGCCCTCCCCTTCTGCAGCTGTCCCCACAGCCAGGCCAACAGGCACTGTCCACGGGCCTGCCCCCTAGCAGTGGGACTCTAGTTCTGTGAGTCTGAGAAGTGATGTCCTGGGTGTGGCAGGGGCAGAGGGTCCTGCTTGGTTCCGCTGGGTCAGTTCCTCAGCTGGGCACACGAGTTGGTGAATTCTCTGGAAGGAGAGTGGAGGTGGCTGCCTTGAGGTGGAGTGGGGGAGTGGGTAGCAGGTCTCCAGTTGCCCTCATCACCAATGCCTGCCTGCTCCCCATACACAATCATGCCCTCCAGGTGCCGCCCTACAATGACAGCCGGTGTCTTGGAGGCATCCAGTCTCTTTCTGAGACTTTTAAGCACTCGTTCCATCCCTCCCCGGTCCCCACGCCAGGCCCCCAGTGCACCAGTGTCCACCCTGGCAGGCAGCCATCTACCATCATCCACTAGGGTTTCTCCCCCTCTGACTGCCCTCCTCCCCACTCACTTCCTACCTCTCTGAAGGAGCCCTTGAGGGTGCTGAGTTTGTAGAAGCTCCAGGCAGGAATACAGACCATGGAGGACAGAGCCAGGAGCCAGCCCAGGGCATCCCCCCACCAGGGGTACGTGTACTTCTTGTTGTAGGTCAGCGGGGTGTACTTGATCAAGGAGAAGAGGAAGGTGGCCTGAGGGTGAGATCAGAAGAGAAAGGGGCTGGGAAGCAGGGACCCTGTGCCCTCAGCGCCCCCTGGAGGAACTGGCAGAGATCACACTCCAGCCTGGATTTTCCTCCAGGCTCATCTGGGCCAATCAGCCTCCATCCACACTGCTCAGAATCCACATACCCCCACTGGGTGTTTCCCGGGCACCTACCCTGTCCCTCCAGGGCTCCTGTGCCCATGGGCACCTCTAAACATTGTTGGCTCCCAATTAAGACATGACAGTATTCCTGCTGGTGCTTTCAGTTGTTTAAGTCTCCTGCACCATCTGGTGAGGCTCTGCATATCTCGAGGATAGAGAGTAGGCCCCACTTAGATCCTGAATATAGTGCGTGCTGGGTAGTGGCTGACTCAGATGGATAAACCGGAGGAAAAAGGTGGTTCATGGCTCAGACTCTGGAGCCCAGCACCTGGGTTTGAAGCCTAG